ATAAATAATAAGCCAATAGCGGGGATAAAATGGCCTCATTTTAAAAAACACCTCAATCAATCCAAAAGAAAGAAGAAAGCATTAAAAGAAACATAGAATAAAAGCAAATAGAAAATATCTGGCACGATGATATATTTTAACCCATTTTCATCAATAATTACATTAAATGTTAACACCTTAAACAATTAAAAGAGAAACTGTCAGGTAATCCAAGATCCAATTCTAAGCTGTCTATAAGAAAGAAAAATTATTTTAAGTATGTAAGAAGGCTAAAAGAAAAATGATAAGATATATATAGACCTTGCAAACTTTAAAGAAAAACTGAGTAGCTATATCAAATAACTAAATTAACTGAAATAACTAAATTAATATCAGACAAATAACTTCAGAGCAAGAAATATTACCAGGAATAAAGAAGGACAGTATATATCAATGAAGGGATCAATTTTTCAAGAAGAAATACTAATCCCAAATATATATATACCTAACAAAAGATCTTCAAAATGCATGAAGCAAACTGATAGAAATAAAAGGAGGGGAAAAAAAGCCATAATTCAACACTCCTCTCTCAGCAATGTAGAACAAGTAGGCAGAAAATTAATAAGGATATAAAAGACCTGAGCAACACTACCAATTAGATGAGCTTAACATATATAGAATTCTCCATACTATAACAGAAAAGTGCACACTCTTTTCAATTACACATGGAACATTCACCAAGATAAACCATATACTGGACCATAATGCAAATATTAACAAATTTAAACGAACTGAAATATAAAATATGTTCTAGAAATACAACAGAATTAAACTAGAAATCAATAATAGATACCTGGGAAATCCTCAAGTATTTTCAAATTAAAGAATACACTTACAAATAGCCCATGGGTCAAAGAAGAAATCACAAGGGAATTAGAAAATATTTTGAACCAAATGAAAATAAAAGCATGGCATTTCAAAATTCCCTCCAAGCAGTGCTTTGAGGGAAATTTTTAGCATTGATGCCTACATTAGAAAGGAAAGCTTTGAATCAGTCTATGCTTCTATATTTAAAAACTATAAAATGTAGAGCAAGTTAAACTCAAAGCAAGAAGGAAGGAAATAATAATAAGGGTAGAGAAGAAAATGAGAATAACAAAACTACAGAGAAAAATCAATGAAACCAAAAAGCTGGATTGGGGAGGGAGCTGATCAATAAAAATTGATAAACCTAGCACAGACTGACCAAGAAAAAGAGAAGATAAAAATTACAAATATGAAGAAGAAAAGAAGGGACATCACTACAGGTACTACAGAAAGGATAAAAATGGAATACCAAGAACAACTCTATGCCCATAAATTCAACAAGTTAGAGAAAATAAATTCTTTGAAAGGCACATGCCAAAGCTCACTCAAGAAGAAACAGATGATCTGAATAGTCCTAAATTCATTAGGTAAATAAAAATGTTAAGCTTAAAATCTTCCAACAAAGAAACCTTCAGGCCTAGTTAGCTGCATCGGTAAATTCTACCAAACATTCAAGGAAGAAATAGTACCGAATCTAAACTCCAGAGTATAGAAGAGGAAGGAATACTTCCTAACTCATTTAATGAGACCAGCAATAACCTGATACCAAACCCAGAAAAAAGCATTACAAGAAAGCCAGAGACCAACATGCCACATAAATATGGAAACAAAAATCGTTAACAAAATACTAGGAAATCAAATCCAACAATATATAAAAAGAGTAATACATCATGACCATATGGGGTTTATCCCAGGAAACTAATGTTGATTCAACATTTGAAAATCAATTACATAACTCACCATTTCTATAGTCTAAAGGAAAAAATATATATAATCACCTCAACAGATATGGAAAAAGCTTCTGATAAAATACACCATTCATTCATGATTTAAACACACACACACACAAACTCTGAGCAAACCAGAAACAGAAATTTTCTCAACCTGATAAAGGGCAACTACAAAAACCTACAATTATACTTAATGGTGAAAGACTGAATACTTTCCTCCTGAGATCATGAATAAAGCAAAGACGTCCATTCTCACTACTCCTGTTCAGCACTGTACTGGAAGTCCTACTGCAATATGGCAAAACAAGCAAAAGGCATACCGATTATAAAGTATTAAATAAAATTATTTCTATTCACAGAAAACAAGACTAAGTAGAAATACTCAGACTGGGAATTCCCTGGCAGTCGGTGGTTAGGACTCTGTGCTTTCACTGCTGAGGGCCCAGGTTCAATCTCTGGTCAGGGAACTAAGATTTCACAAGCCAGCGTGGCCAAAAAAACGGAGAAATACCCAGAGATTCTACTACAGTCTTATGACAAATTCAATTACCATAATTTGATAAAAATGTAAAAAGAAATGAAAAATAGAAATCCGATCCCAATTCTTAGGAACTTAAAAATAGATTAGGAAAATATTTCTATCGATCTAGATATAATCAAACTTTTTAATACTTCCTTTTGACTCAATGAAATTTACAAATTATCTCATAAGAAGCAACTGGTTGTAATACTTTAAAACAAGAAAGTAAAATAAATGCAAAAAATTATATCATCTTAAATTTTACTTTAGAATGTAGTATCTTGAAATATCTCAATGTACAACTGCTTTTTACCCATTCTCACTAAACGACAATCATAAACAGTAAGAAAACTACTTGTTATTCATCAAAAAAGTATCAAAATATATTAGTCTCTTAGATTGACATATTTTATAATTTCTCCTTTTCCTGGATTTAGGGTTCCAAATGAATTAATACAGTATCTACTCATCCAACATTCAAATCAATTAAAAAAGTAACAAGTTGGGCTTCTAAAGGGTTTTATAGAAGATACAGTTGACCCTCCATATCTGCAATTTCCACATCGGCAGATTCAACCGTGTACCTAAAATATTAAAAAAAAAACAAAACAAAACAGGAAGTTCCAAAAAAGCAAAACTTGAATTTGCCTCGCACCAGCAACTATTTACATTGTGTTTACAACTATTTACATGGCATTTACAAGTCATCTAGAGATGATTTAAAGTATATGGGAGAATGTCTGTAGGTTATTGCAAATACTGTACCATTTTATATGAGGGACTTAAGCATCCAAAGATTTTGATATTTGTGGGAGGTCCTGGATGACTGTAGTTATTTTAAACCCAACAATGTACATCATTCAGAAGTCATCAAATGACAGGGTAGACTATACCCATCTTGATTTAAAGTTTCTCACTACTTATGACTTAAATTTTAATTTAAATAAGGAATCATGCTACTTACTTTAAAATTCAGTACACACCTAAGTGTTCTGGCAGCAAAGCCTTTAACTCTTTGGTCAGCAAACTAGCTTTTCAGTGGTAATTTTTAGCTACTGTGACTTGGTTTGATGGACCCAAATTTAAAATATAAAAGCAGGTATTAAATAACCATAACTGAATGTCAAGTTTTCTACTTTTTAAGACATTCTGTTTTGAGGGTGATTCACTCAACACTAGAGAAAAACAAGACCTCTATCAAAGAGATCCATAGTCAGTAAGTCTTAAATAAGAGTAAATATCTCAACTTGGAATAAACCACCACTGTCTGCCAAAGTTTCTCATATTAAGATAATACAGCCAGCTGTAATGATTAAGATTAAAATATCAGAGCCCATGTTGTTGTAATATCTTTATATCCAAAAAGCTCGAAGAAAAAAGTCTAGATTTTATATACTGAGTACAGAAGGTACTTGTTCTATGAAATGAACGTTATGGCATTTTTTTTTTTCTTTTGCGGTACGCGGGCCTCTCACTGTTGTGACCTCTCCCATTGCGGAGCACAGGCTCCGGATGCGCAGGCTCAGCGGCCATGGCTCACGGGCCCAGCTGCTCCGCGGCATGTGGGATCTTCCCGGACCAGGGTACGAACCCGTGTCCCCTGCATCGGCAGGCGGACTCTCAACCACTGTGCCACCAGGGAAGCCCTATGACATTATGAAAAGAGCATCATTCAGTATAAAACAAGCATACAAAAATACATACCAAAAAAAAAAAAAAACTGTCATAAAAATTGTACAAAAGCACAGGTAACTTGGATTTTTTTATTTTAATAATAAAACAAATTACAAAATTAGTTCAGGAAAATAATAAATAGCACTATAGTCAAAAGGGAGCACCCAAAGTTTATGTGGGACTTGGGCTAAGGAGAACCTAATACATCCCTTATAAGGTATAAATCTATAATCTTAAAAAAAAAAAAAATGTAGTGTTCCTTAAAAGCCAAACAGATGCCAGATGCCTAGGTTTGAATTCCAACTCTACCATTTACTAACCCTATGACCTTGGGCAAGGTATTACCCATTTTGTGTCTCCATTTCCTCTTCTGTGAACTGGGAATAATAACCTTCATAGTTTTTGTAAGGATTAAATGCATTAAAATGTCTGGTACATAAAAAGGAATATAGAAGTACTACTATTCTAGACATTTTCAAGAAATTACTTGTACATCTGACTTTTATAGCATCCCTAGATTTACATAAAATATTAGAAAACTTGAAAGAAATACAGCATATAATCTTTTATGCTTATGTACAAATTGATACCTCTGTGAAATCTATCCTCCCTTCCCCACAAAAGGAGTAAAACAGCATTATTAAAATATTATTTTCTCCAAAAAGAAGTTTCAAAAAAATAAGGTCCTTGAAACTTATCCCTTTATCAAATGTAAATTATAGCTGCTCTGATAAAATGTTATTAAGTACAATAAAGTTTAGATAAGAAAAATGCTCTTAAATGGTAATCTGTTCCAGGATTTAATCACTTTGTAATCATGCGCATTTTCTAAGTGCTCACTGTTAAGAACATTCTTCCCATGACCAGGTTTACCATGCATTACATCTAGCAAAGTAATCTTGGGAGTATGGAATACAAATTATTGCCTTAGAAAAGACACTGTTTATTCCATGTATAAAGCTCAGAGAGTAGCTTTCAGAAAGATGGAAAGAAAGTAAATACACCGGCCACACAGTTGTTTGAGCTTTATTTTTATATGCATACATGTGTCAAAGAAACCAAAAATTTCAAGATATAGAGTACAACATATCAAATGAAATCATTCAAAATTATTTTAATGTATACACAAATAGCAGTATAAGGTATACGATACATTACGTAATTTGTTTTGAGGTTGTGAAAAGCAGTATTTTTGGTTTTAAAATTCTGATACCATTATCTATTACATCATTCAAGTAACATATATTTCAAAAGTTAAACTTTTTAAAAATAATAACTAAATTAACACATAACTCTAAGACAATCTGATGGATGAGCTGACTTTACCAAAATAGTGTTGTTCGATTCTTCTACAGAAAGCAAGGAGGTTGCTATAGTTTTTCACCTTCTCAGAAAGTTCATCGTTGGTCAACTGTGTGGTAAGAATGGTGTACAGATGGCCAAATACCAGTGCATCTAGTTCAGTAGGCCTAAGACAAAAGCAGAAATGAGAGTAACATGAACAGTGTTTAACTTGTATGGTAGACTATATACTATTTTTTAAACACTTTATTCATCTATTTAAAAGAAAAAAAGTCATGTAAGCAATAAATCCTACCCCAACTTGATAGAATTTATTCTATTTTATTGGAGTTTCTAAGATATGAAAGAAAAAAAGATCTTTTAAACTACGATTTGCTAGTTGTGTGACTTGCTTTTTTAAATAGCATCATTTAAATGTGTTAAAATAATATTGGTGTAAAAAAAAAGAATGTCATACAAATGGAATTATACAGTATGTAACCTTAAAATAATAATAATATTGGTGTAAATGATCATATTCATTTTATTCATTAATTTATTCACTAAATATATACAACAGGTCTCCAGTGTGCCAGGAACTATGCCAGATGCTAAAGATATAAAAGCAAGAAAGATATTCTAAGACATGGACACAAAACATAAATTACCACAACACAATTTAGTAAGTGCTTTTGTAGATGCATAACCAAAATGCTGTCAAAGCAGAGAATTTCACTGTGGTGCTAGGAAAACAGAATGATACCTGATTACCTGATCATCATATCACAACATGATTTAATTTTAATTTTACCATTTTAAAAGTAAACTTAGATTTCTGAAGGAGATGTAAGAATGGCTTCAACAAAATTTTTTCTATGTTTTCTTTCCCTTTAATTATATATTACTAACAAAAGATGAAATTTATCTACCTTGCTACTAACGGTCTATAAATGGGACATCACCAATCTATACTACATTAAAATAATTACAGTAGACCCTTGAACAACACTGGTTTGAGGGCTTCCCTGGTGGCGCAGCGGTTAAGAATCCACCTGCCAATGCAGGGGACAAGTGTTCGAGCCCTTGTCTGGGAGGATCTCACATGCCGCGGAGCAACTAAGCCCGTGAGCCACAACTAAGCCCATGCACCACACCTCTCTGAGCCTGTGCTCTAGAGCCCTGAGCCACAACTACTGAGCCCGTGCTCCGCAGCAAGAGAAGCCACTGCAATGAGAAGCCTGCGCACTGCAACAAAGAGAAGCCCCCACTCGCTGCAACTAGAGAAAGCCCGTGCGTAGCGACAAAGACCCAACGCAGCCAAAAATTAATTAATTAATTAATTAAAAAAAAATACTGGTTTGAACTGTGAAGGTCCACTTACACGCAGGTTTTTTTTCAATAAATACGTACTACAATACTACACAATCCAGGGTTGACTGAATCTGCAGATGTAGAACCACAGATGCAGAGGTCTGACTGTAAAGTTATACATGGATTTTCAGCTGCAGCAAAGGGTCAGCACCCTGAGCCCCCTCATTGTACTGTACTAGTACAATATTACTAAAAGGAGAAAATACCATCATTATTATGAACTAATTATTGCTGTCAGCCCTACAGTGAAAAAGTTACTGAGAAAACATATTAGTCGACCTAAACTGTAAAAATATGTTGCAGTAATCCGGTTTGGCAAAACAGATTTGGGGGTCCGTCAAATCCTAATTCTGTCACTTACTAGCTATGTGGCCTTGATCGCCACTGATGAATGACTTCTTTTAATAGTTGCATGGCTTTGTATCTCTTCATGCCACTAATTCCTAAAATATTTATCTCCAATCTGAATCTCTCCCCTAAAGTCCAGAATCATACATTCAAAGGCCTATATAACAATTCCACTTGAATGTTGAATGAGCATCTCAAACCTGCTTGTCCCCTCATCTTCCCAAAATAAAAGTCACCACTACCCACCACCTGTTCAAGCCAAAAATCTGAGTTACTCTTCAGTCCTCTCTTTCTCTTACCCTCCCATATCCATTAGCAAGCCTGGTGAGACACAACCACCAAAATATGTCCTGAATGCCACCACTTACCTATATCTCCTCCAAGCATAAAACATTGGAATGAATTTCCACTCCACTTACACTAACATGCCAAACTCGTTATCCAAAACATACAAATCTTAGAAGATCTGGCTCCTGTTTACCTCTTCAGCCTCATCTCCTACCATTCTCTACACACAACCATAAATGGTTTTGCTTCTTCCATTTGAACATAAACTCTAGCCAATCTTAGGGCCTTGACCCAACTATTCCTGCTGCCTGGAACACCCTGCCCTTGACTTCATACTGCTGGCTCCTCCTTGTTTTTCAGAATACAACTTAAATATCACATCTTAGTTTGAGTGGTCAGCGTCCCCTGACCACTCAAACTAAAGTGGACATATAGCTGCTTATTGTGATGTGATTCTATTTTAATTCTCTATATGGCACTTAAAACTATCTAATATTTGTTGTTAACTGTCTATCTCTTTCTACCAGGACATAGTCTACTTGTTTCCTGCTGTGTCCCCAACACCTGCAACAATGCTTGGCCCAAAGTAGGTTCTCAATAAATATGTGTTTAATGAATCGATGAAAAGGTGAAGTACTTCTCATACCATACTATAACTGTTTACTTAATGTTTCCCCCATTATACTCTAAGTTCTCTAAAGATAACACTGCATATATCTTTATAACCCCAGTTCTTAGCAAAGTATCTAAGGAACTGAATGGTTATTTGCTGAATGAATACACGAAAGAGAAAGAAAGCATCCTGCCTAAGTTGTATAGGATATTTAATTTTTCAATAGTAGTTATTCACATTCTTCCAAAGCCTTCCCTCTTTTGACACATTCATGAAGTATTAATCAAAGTCAAATGTGCAATTTATGGCCATGTTTAAGAGGGTAGTCAATAGGATAGTTTAAAAAAATCACAAGTGTCCTGGGACTTAATAGCACCATGATCCTAGCATTACAGATGAAGAATCAATAACAAATGGATACCTGAAAAAACCCAAGGATGTAGAAGGTGGATAAATATTGAGCTGAGGCACTTTGTGAGAAGTAATATAAACACCAACTCTTCCAGATCCCTAAACATATTTCTTAAAACGTGTATCTTACCAATTTAGGTTTTATTTTCCTAATCCTTATTTAGGATTAACTACCCTCTGCTTCTTGTACTAGAGCCTAAAAAAAGGTGAATATATTCTCTGATGCAACTTCCAGTAGGGTAGATGGGCATCTTTTATCAATAAGGGAAGGCTCTGAATGAGCTCAGGTATGAAGGTATGTTCAAGCCAGAGTAGTCTAGAAGTACCCCTGAAGTGGTCAAAATATTATTTGCTTCAAATACACATCCACATAACTCAAAAGGTGCTGAATTATGTAGGGTAATGAGCATACAAAAACTGATCTGATGTTGCCTAAAGATAGCAACTTCGTGACAAATTACTTTTAGAACATCTAACAGGAAGTAGAATACACTATACTAAATCAAACAAAACACACACATAACTTAATGCATATTTTTTGTAATCCTTACAAATTTCAGCAACTACTTATATTAGTTGACTCTGACATATATGTTATCAATTCCCACAATTCTTTCTTTTTAAAAAGTAAACTGTGGGCTTCCCTGATGGCGCAGTGGTTAAGAATCCGCCTGCCAATGCAGGGGACACGGGTTCGAGCCCTGGTCCGGGAGGATCCCACATGCCGTGGAGCAACTAAGCCCATGAGCCAGAACTACTGAGCCTGCGCTCTAAAGCCCATGAGGCACAACTACTGAGCCCGCATGCCACAACTACTGAAGCCCACGTGCCTAGAGCCCGTGCTCCACAACAAGAGAAACCACTGCAATGAGAAGCCCACGCACCGCAACAAAGAGTAGCCCCCGATCGCCCCAACTAGAGAAAGCCTGTGCGCAGCAACAAAGACCCAACACAGCCAAAAATATATTTAAAAAAAAAAAAAGTACACTGTGGTAATGGGGACACAACTGTATACCACTGCTAAAACTCACAGAACTATGCACATAAAAGCGTCAATTTTACTTTTGTAAATTATGCCACGATAAACCTGACTTTTAAAAAAGGCAATAAGCTCAGAAAAATATTTGCAACTCCTGAGAGACAAGGACAAAAAATTACACTTTAGCCAATACTTCCACTGAATTGTTTAATCAAGCCAAGATTTCATGTACCTCCAGTTTTAATTACCTTTTCTATATAATATGGAGAGAAAACATAACATTTCCACCCTTCTGCTTACTAAGTAGTTTGTAGATTGTAATTTGGATATAGATAGCAACTCTCCTCCTAAGACCTTCAACAACTTTCACATTGTTGCCTTCTCATCTTGCATTATCATTCTTTCCACATTTCTGTTGGTTACCTACTATTCTTATTTTTTCCAGTTTTACTGACAAATAATTAACATACTATTCTTATTTTTTCCAGTTTTATTGACAAATAATTAACATACATCACTGTATAAGTTTAAGGTGTACAACATGATGGTTTGATTTACATAAGTATATAGTAAAATCGTTGCCACAACAGGTTCAGCTAACATCCACCGATTATCTACTATTCTTTCATTTGAATATCAAAATAAAAACGGTACCATAAAATGCGAATGTTTTCCTAACCTTTCCCACTAAAAATTTTTTTGTACTTATCTTTTCCTTCAATTATTATGGTTCCATATTTATTTCTCTCTTTCTGATACGTTTCACAGTCTAGTTTCAAAGACATTAATTTTGTCTGAATGTTCCCCAATTTTTCTTTCCCGTTATACTATTAACTTGTCATTTCTTCATACTAACAGAAATAATCTACATATCCTTTCTTTATGTATCAATCACTGATCTTTAGGACTATCATTCAAATTTGTAAATCAAGCCCCTTGCCATCAACTTTGCTATATTTTGCTTTTGGACATTTTTGAGCAATTTCCCCTTAATTTTCTTAACTAGTGATTTCTCAATTGAACAAACTTCAATGAAATCCCATTACCCCCTGAAATTTTTCTTAAGGTTCCCAAGTATAATTTTTGCATCATTTCTTCAAAATACTTTCCTATCAGTATATGAAGGTATATTTTCAAATTTTACCATTTACTTAATGGTTAATAGCAGTATTTTTTCTTTTTCAAACCTAACTCCTTTTCCAATTTCTCATTCAATTTAATCTAGTCTTAACCAACATTTACTGAGCTTCCTCTAATAGGTTTTGTTTGGAAAACACAAACCCTCAAGGAGCTCATAAATGCTTTGGAGTAGTATTAACTCTTTCTATTCTGATTACATTTAGAAAAATTATTTTTTTCTTCTTCTTCCCCTTTACTAAAAAGGTAACATGAAAATATCACTTCAAGAACAGTTCTGGTTTTTTATTCCAAATCCACTCACCAGGTGAAAGGGAATAAATTACCCAGTCTTTGTGTAGGTGTCTTAACAGATATCACATCAGCAAGATCACAGATACAACAGATAACACAGATTTTGTTTTGAGTTGCATTTTAGAAATATGATTTAAATATTTAAAAGCTACCAACTATATATTATGAAAGATAAAAAGGACAATTGTTAGTATCTACTTTGTATTATTTCTAATTTTTTTCAAATTCGCTTTCCTTTTTCCTTTCCACCATTTAGCTTCTTTGCCCTCTTTTCCCAATTACTATTCTTGCTGCAAGATCTCCCTCAACTATCTTTCCCTTTCTCACATCAAGTAAAGCTACTGAGTTTCTTTCATGAGGCCTCTCAACATGTCTAGCAGGTAAGCTAGAAGAAAAGCTGATTCTAATTTTAGAGGGTAAGGAGAGGATACACAGGGAAATAAATTTTAATATTAAACAACTGGGTAAAATTAAAACTAAAAATTAAAACTATTCTATACTTCAATCATAAAAATGTTTATCTAAGTCTCATATAAGGTAAAATTATTTCAAAAACCTACATCTTAATACCAGTTAAACAGTTTCTCATTTGTTTTTGTACCTATTCTAAATTTTGAATTTTTCATTACAAGTTTAAAAATAATTATACCCGAGCTTATCTCCCTGGGCTATGCAGCTGCTTCCTACTAGCTATCTATTTTACATTTGGTAGTGTAAAATAGCTCGGTGTTTTGTGACCACCGAGAGGGGTGGGATAGGGAAGATGCGAGGGAGATGCAATAGTGAGGAGATATGGGGATATATGTATATGTATAGCTGATTCACTTTGTTATAAAGCAGAAACTAACACGCCATTGTAAAGCAATTATACTCCAATAAAGTTGTTAAAAATAATAATAATTATACCCTTATGAAGAAAAATATTTTTTGATATTTCCACTGAATCACATGCCAAATGATACCTGGTTACTAACTCTCTGACACTGAGTTTCAATGAGGAGAAAAATAAGTTAGATCTATTATCCTGGCTTCCCATGGAGACAGGGTGCATAACAAAACTAACTCCTAAAACAGAGTGATGCACTTCAAACAATAAAATGCACCCCTTCTGAGCTTTTCAGCTCCTAAGAATTCCTATATCAGAAAGAAAGGGGACTACATAATACTAACATTTTGATACCTTTCTTTTGTATTAGAGACTAAACAACTAGAATCAGCATAGCAAACATCACTAGAAATAAGAACATAGCTGTAGAAACTTTACCTACCAGTATTTCATGGTTTGAACTCTATGACCTTTCTGCTTCAAAGATCAACAGAACCCAATTTTATTTTAATATCAGTTGTATAGCACATACATTAATATAACTTTAATATTTCCAAGCTATCACCATAGTCATTTTTGCTACAAATATTAACATCTCTACCAAAAGATGTGTGATATAGCTATAGATGAATGCCTATGAAGATGTAATAAATAATAACAAATAAACCTTTTTAAAAATTATCAATCTAGGGCTTCCCTGGTGGCGCAGTGGTTGAGAGTCCACCTGCCAATGCAGGGGACACGGGTTCGTGACCCGGTCCGGGAAGATCCCACATGCCGCGGAGCGGCTGGGCCCGTGAGCCATGGCCGCTGAGTCTGCGCGTCCGGAGCCTGTGCTCCGCAACGGGAGAGGCCACAGCAGTGAGAGGCCCGTGTACCCCAAAACATGAAAAATAAGAAAAATTTTTTTTTAATTATCAATCTAAAAGTCAAGAGATTTTTATTAAAAAGCCAAGAAAAGATTAGAATTCTAAGCAAAGCAATGAGGTTAAAATGCTAATTTAAACCCATCTTAAACTGGATCACAGGATAGCTGATTCTGATATACTAAAATTGTAACTTTAAAAAAAAAAGGAAAATTCATTCTTTGCCTACGTTAGATATTATTTTCCAAATTACAAAAAAATTCTGTCTTAATAAAACATGAATTACTCAATTTACATATATACACATACATATATTTAATCTACATCCTTCACAATTATTTCTATGCTTTACAAATATTTTCATTAAATTTTAAAAGAAAAGTTCATAATAATGCTTGTCCATCCAACAATATTGTTTACAGTTTAGTTTTATTCACTTTTCTAGTCCTCAGGGTATCATCCTATACAGACAAGTATGGCTACACTTCACGTTTTAATAGTAGTTTGCAAGCTCAGATTTTGTTAAGATGTCATAGTTCCATACAAAGCACCTTGAACTACCTCTAGTAGAACCTCTATCATATCACACAATAATGACTGGTTTACATTGTCTACCCTCAGGAGAAAATTCTTAATAGCTAGCAGTGCATTTTAGAAATCTTGGTCTCCCAGAAGCTAGTGCTATGCCTGACACCCAAGAAATTAAATGGTTAATGAATGCAAAAATGAACTTTAATATAACTAAATCTTTTCATAAATATTTCTTGATAAAACAATTCCTCTATGATAAAATGTTTGATACGACATGTATGATAAAATAATAATATAGAAAAGAAACTAACTAAAAAGAATAAATTCTTACTGCTTATTGAAGAAATACGGTTGTGTTCCCAGTCTTTGAGAAAGAGCTTGACAGCACTGGTCTACATCTTCTAAGACCTAACACAAGCAACAGACCCCAGAGAAAAATATTTAAATTAGCAAAGCAATAAAATGTGTCTAAAACTTAATATGTATCATAGTTTATAATAAAAATATAAATTTAGGTAACCATTTATAGTATATTTAAATCAGACCATAGACCACATAGAGAACATACGTAATAATTTCTATACAAGAAACAGGAAGAAAATTTGAGAGCAAATTTCCTTTAAATACAAGTACATTTAAGTTACTTATAAGGATTATGATCAAGAAAGTTTTTATCTCAAAACTCTACTCCCTACAAAAATGTTTTCCTGAATCCATATAATCAAATGACTTCACATATATTAAAAAATCTGCTTCATAAAGATGACACTGCTGACCTACCATGAGTAAAAATCATTTGAATTGTTTTCCCACTAGTGGAAATAGATTTTATTTACTCCATCCCTATTCATTTACCCAATCCCCCTTGTGGCCAATGGCACACATCAATGAGCTGGCTGACTAGGACTAGGGGTATCCTTGAAAATGAGACATTAATTAGCTCAATGATGCTCAAACTCATGACCTTGACAAGATATATATTTTTATAATTTTGCTACTTCAGTAAATTTAAGACCAAAGAAAAGCAGGTATATTAAGCACTACATCTAACAGGGTTGGGTTTTTCTTTTTAAGCCCTGATGCAGCAGATCTATATTTATTGGCATAAAAAAATGTCCACAATGTATTGCTGAATGGATAAAAAAAATTAGGTTATAGAGTGGCAGTTTTACTATGACCTCATTTAAAGAACATGTTATTAAGAGACACCTAGAAGAATGTTCTCCATATAGTTAACAGTGGCAATTTCTAGATGGTAGGATTCCAGCCAACTTTTATTCCGTTTTTGAAGTTTTCGGTATTACATAATTTGTTTTACAATAAGCCTGTGTGATTTTTATAAAACAAAAAAGTACTTCATGTCAGAGAAAATAAGAGCAAATGTTTTGTTAATTTTTTTTTATTATGTTGGGAGTTTGTTTTTTTTTTTGGCTGCGCCGCGCAGCATGTGGGATCTTAGCTCCCCAACCTGGGATGGAACTGGCACCCCCTGCATTGGAAGCGCAGAGTCTTAACCACTGGACCGCCAGGAAGTCCCCTGGGATTTTTTTAAAGGACCAACAATTAAAAATCTTTTTTCTTTATGTATTAAAGTTGAGGGTTTTACCAACTTCAATCTGAACTGACCTGGTCCAGAGTCTTGTTACCCCATCCAATAGCTTTCATCTTACGTTTGACTTCCCACTGTTTCTGATAGGCCAAAATATGATTCAGAGGCCAAGGGTAAGGAGATCCATACCTAGCATGAGTGATCTAAAGCAAAAAGATTATGTTAAAAACATGATTCTAAAGACACAGCCTGTTTTCACAAATAAAATTCTAAGGGAAATATATTTCCAGAGACCACAAACAGAGCAATCTGAAAAAATAAAACAAAACATAGCTTGCAATCTAAAAATTAAAATTTTAAACCATTCTCTTTAAAAATATATAAACTTTCACATACTCTGCAACCAGTTATATCAAACAATGACACACAGCTTCCCTAAAATGTACGTGCAAGCAAAATTAAAGTGAAAAACTATATCACTAATGGTATAAACCACAATGTTTCATTTATGAGCAGGGACTTACGATTCTGAGCAAAAGTGTTTTTTCATTAAATTTTAATTAAGATAAATGTTGCAGAACCACTCACCTCCCCTACAGTAGCTTCATCACACCACTGAAGATACAACTAGGAAAAAAAAAACAGTCACCAAAACTTTAAAGTATCAAAGAGAAAATGGATAAAGAAAGTTACTTCTTGCCAGGGTAATTTTTTATAAGCCAATGTCATAAAAGTCACATATGTGAGGGTTGTTTTTGTTTTTTCTTGGCTAATGTTGCTACATAGAATTATTAAACTTAATGGTGGTGCCTATAAAAATATTTCTTATTCATAGAATACATCCATAAATGCCATTAAAGTATTTTACAGATGCCATTTAAGTGAATTTCACAAGACCAAAATAAAATAATGAGTGGGCAAGAGTCACTCCTGTTTACAAACAGAAAAACTAGAAATGATAATATCAGGCAACTTGTTCAATGATAATGATCAAATTATTTGGGTAACGACACTAGCCCTAGAAGTGGCTTGACTGTTTTCCTATTTTTCAGTAACTTTAACATAACCCATAAGAAAGATGATCTTTTATGAGAGAAAAAGCTTATTTTCAAGGCCTATTATCTTCTATTATACCTCTGCAGTCAACAGCATATTGTTGACTAATTCCATGTAGGCTTTCATTTCTGCTTTTTGGACTTCATCCAGCCCATCACTAAGAGAATGGCCCTAAAGGGAATTTAAAAAACTTTAAAAGAGCATCATATTAAATATACAAAAACTTTCAGTTATCTTACTACCAAGTAATACAACATCAATGTTTTACTGCAAATGTCCAATGGATTCATTTCCAAAATGCCCCCTAAAACATAATTATTTTATGTAAAAAAATAATACTTTGCTATCACTACAAAATATTAATAAGAAGTATTTACTTGTCATTATAAAAATGTATCTTTCAAGAGACAAAATTACATTATTATTTCACAAAAGAAGGAAAGAGCGATGGTCGGTAAACCTTGTTGTTTTTAAGAGACTAACCTTTTTAGTAATAAAATAAATTCCAAAGATTGACATGTGTTACTTATGAAGTGGCCAAAGATTTTTTTAAATGTTATTAGTAAAGGATAGGGAAATAGACACTAATTTTTAAATTCTAATACAGTATAGTAATGAGTAGATGCATAAAATAGTATAAGCTTTAGTTGTAAGATTTTTAAAATGCATACCCTATAACACTGTATTATCACTCTTAGGAATTTATCCTAAGGAGATAATTTAACGAGTGTACAAAGGTGTATGTACAAGAATATTTGTATTAGCACTCAATAACAGCAGAAAATTGGCAACAACTTCAGTGTCCATCAATAAAGACTTAAATAAATTATAATACATCCATATGATAGAATATTATACAACAATTTAAAAGGATAACATATATCTATAGTCATTAAATGGAAGAATTTCAAAACACATTGATGATTTTAAAAGGCAGGTTGCAAAATAATACATAACAGTATGACCTGTATTTTTCTACATATGCAAAAAAAAATTCTGGAAGCATGTTCCCCAAAATGTTAATGGAGGTTGTTCTTTGATAACTATTAAAATCTAAACTGAATAATAATTCAAATGGGTAAATTAGCATTGATACATTCAACTTTTTAAACATATTCTATAACTCCCTTCTCAAAGGTTAACCTGATATTTTACAACAATGAAGAGTTTTCATTTGTGACCAAAATTCTCTTAAGCATGAGTTAGAAAATTATCTATCACTTTGTAAAGATCAAATGGCCTCTTCTGCCACTGACTTACATTATGAGGGGAAAAAAACTTACTCTTTAGAAATATTTCTCTGGTAGTTTATATCAGCATTTTTTAAAACTAGGTTAAAATCAACGTAAATGTTACAACACCCTAAAGAATGATGAATGACTTACTTAAAAGTAACTGTGATCAAATGCATTTAATATCTTTTTTATTACCTTGGCTTTAACGAATTGGACTATTGGACCAAGTTCCGATACTACTTGATTTCCTACGTGAATAAAAGGTACTTTACCTGTTGAGGGGGAAAAAAATGTGAAAACACTCTCCATAAATTAAAGTTTGTGCTAAAAAGGAAATGAACACAAAACTGGGATATGTTTTATTAATACACACAGTTTCCTAACACTATGACTTTTGAAAATTATAGCTAAATGTGTACGTTAAATTCTAAAAATTTTTAAACATTAATTACTAATTTTAAAACAAAAGAAAAAAAACAAGGAGATTCATTTCTAGAGTTCTTATATGTAATAACAGATCAAAATATTCCCTTTTCAGAGCTAACACTAATAAATCACTATATAGCAGTAAATACTAATTATTCAAATTATATGAACCAAGCCTAGTCATTGGTACATGACCACTGATAGATCCGAAAAAATTAAACTGGGCCTTCTCTTCAGAGTACAATGAATCAATCTATATTTAAGCTACATTTATGAAGCTTATTTTTTTTTTTTTACATCTACTACTTTCAAATCTCAGGTACCCATTCAGATCAATTGTTTAAGCACATAATGGTGCATTAATAAATGTATCTGACTCAAAAATTTCAGGAATTAAGACAATAACAATCTTTGAAGGTATGCTAGCTTATGAATTATAATACAAAGTATGCTCCCAACACATGTGGGGAAAAAAGCATTAGTATGCTTACAAAAACTGGTTTCCCTAAATAAATGCCACATTAAAAAAGTAATATTTCATTTTTTTAAATACTAATAATAGATGAAATTATCAGAGATGACGATCTCCAAATAGCAATAAAGTCTACCTCAAATGCTAGAGGATGAAACTTTGTCAGACCTAGTTCAAATAGAGTTCACACTAACAGCTGGCTTCTTCGTGGTCCTTTTCAAGAGATTCACTCCTCTCTGGCTTAGACAGCCTGAGGGTAATGGATGAGGTGCACAGCACCAACAAAAGCTTCATCTGCGTCCACAGGACATTACAAAGGAAAGGCAGGCCTTTTGGATACAACTCAACAGAGGTATTTAGAAGACATTTCCATTTACCAATATAAAAACACTGAATTCTGCATTCCTTTTTTCTACCGCTTTATAAATCTTTCAAAAAAGAAAAAAATTTCTTATCTGCATTAAGAATTAGATCATACTCTTTTTTAACTTGGGATAATATCTTTGTAACTACTATACTGATAGAAATAGTGCAGGTCCTCTGAGATAATATGACCAGAGAATGAAAACGATTTGTGAATGAATGTCTAGACTGAAGAGTATTTTGTGGTGGTACATTTTGAGATCAAAGTATATTTCTCATTTTCATTATCCAGTCTGGAGTTCTTGGAAGACAGAGTTTATACTGGCATGCCTTGCCTTATTGTACTTTGCCTTATTGTGCTTTGCAGATATTGCGTGTTTTTACAAACTGAAGGTATGTGGCAACCCCGAATTGAGTAAGTGTATTGGTGCCATTTTTCCAACAGCATTTGCTTACTTTATGTCTCTGTATCACATTTTGGTAATTTTCACAATACTTCAAACATTTTCATTATTATTATATTTGTTATAAATATAAAACTTTAAAGGATGAGGAGTTGCTTCTTATGGATGAGCAAAGAAAGTGGTTTCTTGAAATAAAATCTACTCTTAGTGAAGATGCTGTGAAGACTGTTGAAATGACAACAAAGGATTTAGAATATTACATAAACTTAGTTTATAAAACAGCACCAGGGCTTGAGAGGATTGACTCCAATTCTGAAAGACGTTCTACTGTGGGTAAAATGCTATCAAACAGCATTCCATGCTACACAGAAATCGTTTGTGAAAGGAAGAGTCAATCGAAAAAGCAAACTTCAATGCTGTCTTATTTTAAGAAATGGCCAGGGACTTCCCTGGTGGCACAGTGGTTGAGAATCCGCCTGCCAATGCACGGGACACGGGTTCGAGACCTGGTCCAGGAAGATCCCACATACTGCGGAGCAACTGAGCCCGTGTGCCACAGCTACTGAGCCTACACTCTACAGACCGCAAGCCACAACTACTGATGCCATGTGCCACAACTACTGAAGCCCACACACCTAGAGCCCGTGCTCCGCAACAAGGGAAGCCACTGCAATGAGAAGCCCACACACCACAACGAAGAGCGGCCCCCACTGACCGCAACTGGAGGGGGTCCGCGCACAGCAACGAAGACCCAACGCAGCAATCAATCAATCAATCAATGAGTGAATGAATGAATGAATGAAAGAAACAATAAGAAATGGCCAGAGCCACCCCAACCTTCAGCAACCACCACCCTGATCAGCCAGCAGCCATCAATATGGAGGTAAGGCCCTCCGCCAGCAAAAAGGTTTTGACTCACTGAAGGCTCAGATGATGGTTAGCATTTTCTAGCGATAAAATATTCCTAATGGAGATATGTATAGTGTTTTTTTAGCCACAATGTTATTTCACATTTAACAGACTACAGTACAGTGTAAACATAACTTTTATATGCATCGGGAAACCAAAAATATCCATGTGACTCACTTTATTGCGATATTCGCTTTACTGTGGTGGTCTGGAACCAAACCCCACAGTATCTCAAGGTATGCCTGTATTTTATTTCTTTTCTTAAAAATACTTTGAGCATTGTAGATTCTGAAGCAGGGAAGCAGTGTGGGTAGCCGATTGAACACTCATATATCTCTAAATACAAAGAAATAAATAAAAATCAAGGCAACAAGGGACTTACCTGGTGGTGCAGTGGATAAGAATCCACCTGCCAATGCAGGGGACACGGGTTTGCGCCCTGGTCCAGGAAGATCTCACATGCCATGGAGCAACTAAGCCCGCATTCCACAACTACTGAGCTTGCGCTCTAGAGCCCGCAAACCACAAATACTGAGCCCAAGTGCCACAACTACTGAAGCTCAGGCGCCTAAAGCCCATGCTCCGCAACAAGAGAAGCCACCACAATGAGAAGCCCGTGCACCGCAATGAAGAGTAGCCCCTGCTCACCACAACTAGAGAAAGCCCGTGCACAGCAACGAAGACCCAACGCAGCCAAAAAATTAATTAATTAATTTTTTAAAAAAATCAAGGCAACAAATTAGAAGTAAATAATGTTTTCTGTCACTAGCCTGACTTAAGGTGGAGCCAGTGTTATATCCTTATTATTGGAGGTGATCAGGCAAAAGCAGAGTGAGACAGTTATTCTCTGGCACCAATCAAAGGTCATAAAAAAAACCCCAAAGGCCCTGCTTCTCATTTTAGGCAGAATAATCATTTTTGGAACTTTTATATTTAAAGAAAGCAAGATGCTTCCAAGCAAGTTTATTTATTCAGAGAATATCAGAAATAGAAAGGACCTTGGATGTCATCTAATGCAACCACCTCATATTACAGATGAAGCCACTGAGGCTCAAAGAAAAGAAGTGAATTTCCCAAGAAAACTGTTAACATGTGACAAAGTCACAGAAGGGTTAGACTAAAAATTTCCTAACTCTTAGCCAAGTGGTCTTCTGACTATTCCATGATGTTCTCTGCTTTAAAAATCTACCAACAACCAGATCAAACAAGCAAATAAAATATAACACATTCCCATGGTCACCCAAATCATATGATAAAAGAAATACTAGAGACGATGAAATTTAACTACCTTAATAGAAAGTGCCATTTTCATCTACCTATGGGAGACTTCTCCTATGCATATATGTATATATGCATGTATTGTAGTCTCTATACTATTTATGTTTGTCTTTCCTAGAATCTATAAAGATGGATAACTACCTAGGTAATACTACATATAGTACAGTCATTTTAGGAAATAGGTGGATAAGCTATATGGCTTCTCCTTGATTTGTCAAAGATATTAACTTTAGTATTAGATTACTAACCTTTTTATATGTATATCTACACTCTTTGTATGACTACACAGAGGAAAAAGGTGGACAGAACCCAATATAATTCATTTCACCAGAAGTCAATAAAGTTTATAAAACCTATGTATAAACTTAAAACAAAATGATTCAATTAATAGCCTTCAAGGATCTAAAAGATGTATATGTTTATAAGTCTAAAAATTCATTTATTGAAACGTTTTTAAAATGTATATTCATAAACCTATAAATGTAATGGTATTCATATAGAATTTTCAGTGTGTATAGAGAGGGTGTCTTCACAGCTGTTGACAATTATTACCACCCTTAAGAGTTTATGATGAAAAAAATGTCATTCCTAATGATCCAAGTCATTCCTAAATTATCACCACAATAAAGAGATCGATAAATGTCTCCCTAAAAAGCAACGTAACACACTTGTACCAATCAGTTATATTCAACGAATTTATCCATAAAGCAGTGGTTCTATGTGTTATTATTGCTCCAGCAAAACCATAATTATAATAACCCATACCAATTCTATTTATTTATCAGATTTGGTGGCACTATATTTTTATATTAAAAATTACCTGAATCATGTTTATTTAAAACTGTACCTTAATCTACTAATACATGATACACAGAAAAGGCAATACTGATTATAAAAAATAGCAGAAAGGCTAAAACCTTAATAAGAAAAAGTAACTTAAAAACTTAAAATGAAACAAAAGGAATCAGAAACCAAAGACATTCAGATCTATGACATGTTAATTTAATTATTCCACAATCTCTCTTCTTCCATTGGCATAATGGGAGAATACAATTTAGAGAAGTGTATTTAATAATAAATGGATTCACATATTAAAATTTGTTTTCTGAAGAAGGAACAGTCTTATGTAAATAAGACTGGGGGAATTCTGAGATTATATATTTTCTTAACATTTAATATTTGAAACAATTCCCCTAACTTTCCAGTAATCATCTCTGACCACAGAGTTGAAATGAGTAGACATGTCACCCCAAGACTGTCAAGTTTGCAACTGTTACTTTATAGAATGGGAAAATTCTTCAAAGGGTAAACAAAAAATATAGGCATTTTAAAAATCTAGGTACAAACTGGACTATCACTGCAATTTTATCAATGCAGAATATTAACAGAGAAGAAAAACAAAACTAAAAAACACTTACCAGATGGAGACATATATTCTGCATTTGCCCTGCAAACCACTTTGACGGGCAGATTACACATCTGCAAAAAGGCCTGTCAACCAAGAGAAGTCTACAGTAAGTCTAGTGAAAGTATATGCATATTCGAACACAAATTTTTATTTATTTCTTTTCCAAACTTAATAGCTCAGGAAAAGAAAAAGAATGAATCAACTTAGTGAAAGATTTGTACTCTAAAACAAAATGTCATTTCAATACTAAAAGTCAATATGACTTAGACACCAGTAAATGTATAAAACTTAAAGCATTTATACATACAAATGTAAATTATCCACTTATTTTACTGCATTAGTTTATGTAAGTCAGCAATACTGTGTATTTATTTAATTTTCTTTAACAGATGACTAAAGTCCAAACTTTATAAGCTATTACTAAGTTCCACTACTCTTTTTTTTTTTTTTTTTTTTTTTTTTCTTTTTTTTTTTTTCACTACTCTTTACAGAATCCTTATCTTTCCTGTCTTAGGGGAAAACTCTCAAAATGTTATTTTTACTACTTCAAAGTTCTCTCCAATAATACTCAACATCCTAATGTGTAGCTTTCATGCTTATTAACTCACTTTTTAAAGATATAGAATTGTTTATTTTTACTTTGTTTATAGCAACAAAAATTTTATAAGTCTAACAATAGGGAACTGTTAAATTATTTATGGTAAATGCAAACCATATAATTTTATACAATTTTTAAAAATCATTAATTATATCGTCACACATGACTGCCTGAAATAAGAACTTTATTTCCAAAGCTTCCTTCCAACTGGGTGTGACCAATGTCTAAATTCTGGCCAACGGGACTCAAAGTTCCGGGCAACTGCTCGGGAAGTTTCTTTAAAAAGAAGAGATATGACCTCTCCTCTTTTTCCTTCTTGCTGACTAGAATGTAAAAAAGATGACTTACAGCCACCATAGCCAAACTGAATCACAGTAGAAGCTGAGTGTTGAAGATGGTAGAGCAACAAGAAGAGGCAGGAAGCCTAAGTTTTTGATAATCATTCAGTCCCAAACCTGGATTACTTGTGTTAAAAAAAGAAAGAAAGAAAAGAAATAAACTTCTATCTTTTTAAGCCACTGCTATTTTGGGTTTTCCATAACTCACAGCCAAACCTAATCCTGACTAAGTTACCAACAATTACTGTTTCTAGGTTTAAACAGCACCTCATCCAAACAAAAGTTGACTCTTCTATGTCTACGTAAGTATAACTAACAGTCCTCTAAATACTATAACCCATGCTCCCAATTTATAACAATAATACTGAGCTTCTTGGTTGGCCCACAAGTATGAACTCCAGGTAGTGGTTCTCAAGCTTCAGTGTACCATCAAAGTCATGTGGAAGGCTTGTTAAAACACGGATTGCTAAGAAGGGAAGAATTAGAATAAGTATAAAGAGACCTTTCAAGAAGACTGAGAAGGAAGAAGGGAATTAAGAAGGGTCAGCTCCCTTCTATTATATATGTATCTGTACCCAATGATGGAAAAAGGTTGAGCTCATTAAAACATATATAGGAAATAGGCTGAAATGACAAGAACCAGGCAGAATAACTGACATACAAGATCCATGAGAAGATAAAAAGGAATGAAATAAGAGCACAGGTGGAAGCATCTGTTTTTTTCAGGAAACAGGACACTTTTTCCACTGTACTTGCAAGGGGTGGTCAGCATCAGTGATGATGACTGCAAGCTGATAAGTGAGAAGGACAAGAAAATGAGGGAGTGCTCATATTCTGTGCAATGGGAGAAAAAACCGTCTGCCGAGAACATAGGACCAAGAGGGGGTTTAGGCCTTCAGAAGAACAAAAAGAATTTGAAAGAACTGCTTAATGCATCTTCTCAAAGGTCAGAATAATACTCAGCTGTTAGTTAACAATCACAGTACTATATAAAATAGTAAATATGGCATATTTTGCTAACCTCCATGTATATTGGTAACTGTACTAATCATTGTTCCAAAAAGCTGTGTTTCACTAAAAGAGATTAAGCAAAATTGTAACGTTCTACAATCAAAGCCGTGTTTCCAGTCCTGTGAATTTTTTACTTCTTTACTAACAAATAACTGGCTTAATTTTAACCAATTTAACAACATTCAACTTACCACAGACCTCAATTGATGGCACAATTCTACTTAGCCAAAGATTAATTTTATGGCATTTACTGCAATTATTCTTCATCCCTGATTCAAAAGAAATTTTCTGAATTAATCTGAATTAATCACAAAGAAGTCTGATGTCACAAACACAGTATTTTCATCCAAACATTAAAAATGCAAACTAAAACCTTACCATTACTGTCTTCAAGAATATAAAAATTCCAAATCCAAAACAGACTTTGATTCAACAGTATTTCTCCTTTCTCTTGTAGCACAGGAGAAAAATCTCTGAGGCTCCAGAACAGGACTTTCACCTTTCACTTGCATTTTCAATCTCTTATCAGCACCTCAAATACTCTAATTAAAACAGGTATGATACACCAACCTAAAACACATTTTATTTTCAATTCTGAATAGCAATCTGCATACTTTTATTCTTATGTAAATACAAAGAAAAATGTAGTTCTAATCATAATAAGGAAAGTTAGGAAAATTCAGCCAACTCCTATTCCTCTGTTGGATACATTATTCCAAACTAATTCAAGTGATTGACAACATAAAATAATTTAAATAAAAAATTTAGCACATCCTATGAGGACAATGATTTATAACTGTGCTGTCCAGTATGGTAGCCACTAGTCACCTGTGGCTATTTAACTTAAATTTAAATTGATTAAATTTGAATAAAATTTTTAATTCAGTTCCCCAGTCACACTAGCCATTTCACATGCTCAATAGCCATTTCACATGCTCAATAGCCATATGTGGCTAGTGGCTACCATATTTACTGGCCAGTACAAATAACAGAACATTTCCATCATCTGGACATCATCTACTAGACATTGTGGGTCTACTGCAATAGCAATGATAATAGCAATAGCAATGGTAATCAGTGCATAAAAGGTACCTTAGCAAAACAGGCTGACGTCATCTGAAAGAGATTAGGCTAAATATTATAAAAACAACCTGTAGTATTACAGTGATGACTGTGAGACATTAAACACCATAATATTTTCAATTTTCAGAAAGAACTAATACAGTTTACTCATTTGCTGAGCAACCCCAATTGACAAAATGGGTCAGGTAAGTTTATTAAAATGTGAAAACTAAGAACTTCAGAATGAATAAATTAAAGCACAGCCAATCAATATATTCTTTGAATATAAATTTACTGAGTACCTAAACATATGACATGGTAGGACTTTTTTAAACACACACACACACACATGCACACAGAACATAATACCCAGTACCTAAAGTCTAAGACCCTGAAATTTAATCAGCTTCATGTAGTTTCAACATATTGAGTGAATTAATTAAGTTCATAGCGTCAAAAAAATTCATTGAAGGGTATGTCTGTATATTTTCTTATTTCCACAAAAAAATTCAAAGGAAAAAAGTAATACTAGATCATCGAGAACCAGTTAAACATGAAGGATTGAACTTACACATTTATCTCTGCAACCTTTCAAAAAATCCAATGAAGTAACAGTGAAGAAGCAGAAAATGTGTAAACCCAGAAAAACACAAAGAATGGAAGAGGAAACCAAAGCAGACCAGAGATGTCAACCCATTTTTAAAGATAAAAAGCAGACTTAGCAGGGCAGAGGAAGCTGAAACCTAAGGGCATGCAGAGGAGAAAATCAATACATTTGCAACACAGAAACTGGGAAGATTCCGAAACTGGAGGCACCAAGTACCACAGAAGGCAGAGGTGAGGTAAAGGACTAAAAATAGGAGAATTGGATGAAAGTCTGTAAAAGCATCAGACAACTAGCCCGCCCCCAATCTGGCAGGAGACAGGGGTTCATTCTCTGGAGAAACCCAACCAGAGAGGCTCCTGACTCGGGACCCAAGCACAGTAGAGGGCCCTGGGTAGAGGGTCACACTGGAAGGAAGGTTAAGGGAAAGTATGTACACTGTAGAGAGCCACAGCACCCTCTCCCTCTCAGCTCCCAAACACTGGCAGCCACATTAAGTACTCCGGAGTACCACTCCATAGAAAACACCTACCAATACTGATGATTTTAGTGAGGGGTAGGGACAGTGGCCAAAAAATGGCCACTGTGCAATCAGTCTATAGTGAAGCCCGCATGCCAAAAAGTTCCTCAATGCCCCATCACCTTTTTAGTGCCTCACTCTTAAATATAAATTGTTAGCAGAGATCAACAGATATTTGAGGAAAGCCTCAAACATACAGAGCCAAAACAAACTACAAAAAAAAGTAGTTGAGGGGAAACAGAAAATGCAGACAGCAACTTCAAAGAAAAATTATAATGGCTAATATTCATTGAGCACTTACTATGTGCCAGGTACTTGCATAAGAGCTTAACTCTATGAGGTAGGTACAAAAAAAAAATCCCTATTTTAAGATGAGAAAACAGAAGTACAGGGAGGTCAAGGAATCTATTCAAGGCATATAGGAAGAAAGGAAAGGAGGGAGGGAAGAATGGAGAGAAAAAGGGAAAGAAAGGAAAAAAAGAAAGAAAGAAAAAGGGAAAAAAGGAAAATGAAAAGAAGCAAAGCATACAAAGGACTGAGATGACACTGAATGTCTCAAAAGAAGCTCCAAAAGCTAAAGGATGACAAAAGGCTTTCAAAATTCTAACAAAAAATCTTGCCAACCTAAAATTCTACATGTGGCCAAGGAATCAATCAGGTGCGAAGATAGAATTTTAAAAAAACATAACACAAGCAAGGTCTTCTTTAAAAGCCTAAAATAAAAATAATAAACCAAGAAAAAAAGAACATAGGATGCAGAAAATTAGGGAATCCAACATAAAAGGAAGGCAAGAAGAATTTCCTGAATGATGATGAACAGCAGTCTTAACAACGAGCTATGACACCAACCAAGAAAGAAACTGTCCCAATTAAAGTAGAAGGAACAGGGCTTTCAAAGGTAATAGTTCCAAGAAATAAATAAATAAAGGACCTGACGTGTTTGACCATTG